TGAAAAAGTGCTGGATATATCTTCGAGACATATCAAAGAATTGTCGTGGGCCATCCATGAATAATCAAGTGGCACCGATCACGAATACCAATGTCAACTCTTCTGACTTTTGAAGATAGAAAAAAATGATCATAACGAACAAACATATTATTCAGATCTAAAAACATTTTTTGGTGCGTTTTTCGGTTTCAACCAATCCATGTAAATATTTTTTGGATCGAAACATGTTTTAAATCGCGTTTGATGCACGTCCGAAACGCAGCTCAAATAGAACACTTTCTACGTTTAGGTGCGATATGTTTCAGAAACATGTCTGAACGCATTTGCAACTTGGAGTGTGTTTGAACGCGTTTGAAATGAAACTTTTAAAATATTAAAAATAAGTTTCAATCCGTCTTAGATGGAGATAGAGATGCCATCAACAGGTTACCATGATGCTCTTCACCTAACTTGGCAAAAAGATTGAATTATTACCTCAAGCGACTGAAGTTAGGTCTGAAGTAGCTAACAAGTAACCAGTAGGCCATGCATGTGCACCACTGAGTTATACAAGCTCGGAATGATTTCTCCTTAAACAGAAACTATGTTTGAAATCTAGTTTAGCCATTTCGATTTATTAAACTAACAATATTCACTATTGCAAACTAAACTATTATATCTTCAATACATTTTTTCAGAAAAAGTTTTTGTTTTTGGATGCAAGCTCAGTAACACGTTGGGTGACTAGATATACGTCTGTAATTGTTGAAAAACCAATTATATTAGGTATAGAGTCTGAATGACATACAATAATAATGTAATTCAGACAGAATAATTCTAAAATATGAATTAGTAGCCATTGATAAACTGAAAGATTCGAATGGTTAATTTTATCTGTCATTGCCACAAATTTCATAGAGTCTTATATTCTTTCTTCTTTATCTAACCAATGAGGCGTATTGCAATTCGAAAAAAGATGAAGAATCTATATGGCTTTCTTTCTCAAACTGGTTTGAAAAGATATGACCAAGGAAGGAGTCATTTATGCAGGTTCTGACGATATGTGAATTGAAAAGATCTCAAAAATTTTCGAGAAGAGCGATATACATGTATAGTTTCAATCCAGATGACATGCTGTTAAGAATTAAAATCTGTCTGATGAACAAAAGCGCAACACTATATTTGATTACACGACAAACTGTTTTTTCTGACTCAATGCACTCACATCGATTGAGATCGAAATCGGGTGCGTGAGGATCTACGTGAAAGAAAGATCCTCAGCAACCCCGACACCCATATACTAACTCACACCCATACCCTTTGATGACAGCAGATGAAAGAGATTGAGCTGAATTACGATCATTGATTGATGATTCAAGGTTTTCAAAATATAATAAGACTTCATATTAAAAAAACAGTTGTTTTTTTTACACTCGAAATAATGTTCATGTGAATTGAATTGAATTGAAATAGAAATGTCTGAAACAACTGAAATAATTGGT